TCATATTAGGACCATTATCTGTGGAAATGGTAAAAACCATTGTTTGAAGACGCCATTCAGAAATTATTTTAAATAATTCTTCACTAATTACTTCCCCAGTATGTGGATACAGAAGATGGTTGCAAGAAAAAAGAGCTTCTCAAAACTTAAATCAGAAGATAACTAGGAAGCTGTAATGCATAAATAACCATGTCAGGACTTTGCAATACATAAATCGGTAGTCAAATGAATGCTTGTTACGCTACTTCGAAGTAATTAGCTAAGTTGATCATAGCTCCAATTGTATGCTTTGTGTATTAGCCCTTTAGCAGTTTTAACACATAGAATGTGGAATCCTGGCTCACATGCGAAAATAAAATCATGAAAAAACTTATTCTCCAAAATATAAAGGAGCAAGACTAAATGAACAATAAATTGTATTAATTTTCTCGATAAAAAGTCTTGTCTTTTATTTGTACATGGTAGTGCTATTGCTGCATTATTATAATAATTAGTAATTTTGTTTTGATTAAATTCTGGCTAATAAATAAATTAGTAACTATTAGTATAATATTCTTAAATTCAATAATAATTAAATTTGAAATAATTGTACCTCGCCATATTCATCCAAGTGTTGAGTATAATTTTCCTTAGTTATATTATGACTATCTCATAAATGGTTTATCATATTTGTTGTATTCCCATCCTTCTGGGTATATGCATAGGGATTTTTATTAGTTCCTGAATATTATCATCTCTTCAGAAAAAAAAAAAGTATGACTTTTATTATTGTGGTTGGCCGTCACATTAGAGTTTTGTTTTTTTCGTTTATTATTTAATTGTGCAAAAATAGAACTAGAACCAGTAGAACAGATAGTATTAATATTATTATCAGTATCGTAAACTGATAAAGATGACATTTTTTTTCTTGAAATAACGATTAAGGAACTTCAAGATTATCCTTGAAATATAGATTGATCAATAATAAATCAATTAATCTTGAACAAGTTTACGGATTTCAGATGCTATGGGAGCCTGTAATACATTGTAATACATGATGTGAGCTTATTATTTTTTTTTTTATTAATGAATTGTTTTTAAACCGTTTTGAGATATTTCGTTTAATCTTTTATATTTGTCTGAGTCATTTTTATCGACATTGATGGAATTTATATCAAACAAATGGATATCTAATTGGTTCCATGAGGGGGCCCTATTCATAACTACATATGTTTAGCCTGAAGCAAACATATTTTCATCAATATTCAAAGTTACGTATGGTAATGTAATACCTTGGGTTTTGTGTACTGTTAGGGTGAATGTGTTTTGTAATAGGTATTGGTACCTTGAAGCATATATACTATTTATCTTAAAATTGGCGGTCATTTTCTGGACATTCATTTTAACAATATTACTGTTTGTTGGGAATGTTACTTTGACGTTTTCAGCATTTACAGTTTTTGTTATAATTCTTATAGTTCCATTACAAATCCCGATATCAATTAGTTTATTATTCAAGTACATTATTCTTGCGTCTTCTTGGATAGTTACAGATTCAGAAAGGTTGGTGTAATATTTGAATAAGTTTGAATGTCTTTTGAGGTTGAGTTTAAGGTATCGATTGCTTTTGAGAGGATCAGATCAGAACATTAATCATCAAATGGCAAGTTTTGGCAGATAAATCTATTTATTTATTCAGATGTTTCCCAGAGACCAACTATGTGAGTAGAATTTAGTATATTTTTGATATTTCTAGAGCTTTTTATTTTTCATTAATAATTTTTACTGATTTTTTAGAAAGGGTTCCAAATCTCAACTCTTGGAGGAGTTGGTAGTATTCTAAGTCATCTTTTTGTTAGTGTGGTCTCGTTAAATATAAGGTGAAAAATGGTTTCCAGGCTTGTGAATAGAAGATTTGTTCTCCATTTATGGGTGTCAATTGTGCAAGATCACTGATTACAAGTATGGTATGCCGCCAAAAACTTTGTGGTTTTTATGTAGTGAGCTGAACATGTTACTTAAAAAAGTGAAGAGTTCATCAGAAACCATCGATACCTTATCTATTATTATTGCTTTGATGTGTGATAGTGCAATTCTAAAAGATTGATTATCAATAGATAAGGTTTAATAGTATTCGCCTATTTGCATTATTTTTAATGTTAAATACATCATTTTGCTGCTGATGTTTTGGGCAGCGACTCCTGTGGGAGCCATTAGCAGGTAGTCAATCTTCTTTTTATTTAGCATTTCTACTACTCTAAGGGTCATATATATTTTCCAGTTCCAGCGGATCCAATCATAAAAAAGTATAGGTATTTTCCATTAGCTTCAAAACCTCACATGTTATAAAGGATGTTATATACTTGGTATTGATCGTATCAAACATTAATGTAGAAGTTATTTGTATAGGTAGTTTTTCTAATGTTATTAGTTAATTATATATTGTAACTCAAAGCTCATCTTTTTTATATTAATAAATCTAAAGTGATCATACTTTTATATGATTCAGAAAGTTGAAGCTTGTTGATTATGTAATTTTCTTTTAATTTTGAAGTAATTTGTTCATTTCTCATTGGATACATCATTTGGAATTTTTCTCTGAAACTTTGGTAACCTTTGAGCAATTCTTTCTCACTATATGCTGGGTGTTTCATGTTTATATGCTGATAGAAGAATGGTTCAACATCATCAACATGATAGTTCATAAATCTCAGTAGTAGAAGTTTCTTTCTTTGTATCACATATCTTTTTTTTGATCTCTTGTATAATAAAGTTTTGTATTTGCGATAGGTGGTTTGTTTCCAATATTGTAATAGCGAAAATAATCAGGATAAGTGAGATTTTGAAATCTATATTCTTTGGGCCTTTCAAAATACTTGTCAATTACATTATTAAAATATGGATTTTTATTTTCATTTTCATGATTGTCATTATTATTGTTATAGTTTAGGTCTTCGATTTAATCATAAATTGGTTTTACAGATCTGATACGTAATTTGGAAGAAGCAGAAGGTAGATATCAAACCGCAATTGAGGATCTTACTATTGGATATTGTAATAGTAATATTATTAATTCTATTGCTCCTAATCTTCTAGCTTGCACGTATTTTATGTAAGAGTCTTCATCTCAGATATCAAAAATTTCAGTGGGTTCAGACTTAGTAGTATATTTTGCGACATATTTACTAAATCTATGAGTTGTTATATATTGGAAGTTTAGATGTCCTTTCTAAAGTAATAGTATTTTAGGATGATATGATACTATCCAACGATCGGCTTCTTTTGTCCTTTTATAGATGTAGCGTTTGGAATTTGCTTTGCAATATGTGTAGTTTGATAGGGGTTTAGAAAATCCTTTTTTACATGGTTGGGTATTTGTTCTTAGTCCTCCACATTTATTTCAACTGCAGTAATGTACTTGGTATATTAATACAAAGCGATAAAGATCGGGTTCAAGTATTGGATTAGGCATATCTGCACGTATTGTATTTTGTTCAATCAAATTAGGGATCTTTTTTTCTGTGTAAGCAAATCCGTGGGTAGTAATTGTTCCTCTATTTTGGAATTCATCCCTTTCAAAGTAGTGTAACCATTCACTCATTGTACAAAGATTTGGAGATTTCCAAAGTTTATTTTGAATATTAATTAATCGATTGTGATAATGGAGATATACGTGTAGTGGTCTATTGGTCGGAAGTGGATCTTTATTATCGGTATTTTCTAGAATAATATTTAAATGTTTCTATTTATCTTCTGCCATTGTCATTGTATAAAAGATTTGTGGTAAGCCAAAAGCTTGAAGTATTGTATTAACTTGATATTGTTTTTTTTAAAGAATGATTCAGAGATTCGGACATGAGATGGCAAAGTGGTAGTTATCGATTCATTTATGATAGGTCTACTTATATAGATGCTTGATGATATTAGATCTGTTCTAGTTGGATGTGAATTTCGTGAAATATTTCTTTGTCTTAGAATTCTGTTTTGATTTTAGAAATTACATTTTTTTCAATATTAAGATATGACCAATATGGTTAATACCAATGCAATCGAAACCTTGGATCTAGACATAACATTCTTAATTTTATATATTTTCTATAGCTATTAATATTTTGTTTAAAGTTTAGAGAATTTTTAATGTTTTCATAATATTCTTTTTCTGTAGGAAAGATGTCTGGAAATATTAAGGCTTCTAGGTCTAGGTTGTTATACAATATCAAAAGTGTAAGGTTATCATCTAATTTTATAAATCCTGCTATTAGACATTTATATTTGTAATCTTTATCATGAATGTGTGTTGAAAAGTCATTGTTAGGAATAATTATAGAAGGTGATTGTGGTATATTTGTGTTAGTATTATGAAGATTTTTGTTGCAAATATAATCTCTAGAAATCCAGGCAGTTGGAAAAAGTCGTGGTATTGAATCTATTGGTAAGTTTTGAAATATTTTTTCAGTTTTAATGTATTCTTTAGATATTGGATTGTTTTGTTTTAACCATTTACTTGCAGATATTAGTGTTTGGTTAAACCAATTTGGTGGTTTATTTTGATTAAAGAAAGCTCCAATTAAACCTGAATGTAATCCTAACGCATGTTGATTTTTGATAGATCAATAAAACCTTGTAGATGATGATAATTAGTATAGGGGTTTGAATTTGCAGTACACCTAGTGAACAGCTCATATGTATAAGTGATAGATTCTTTCAAAATATCATAGGTACAGCATCTATTTCTTCTGGTACCTGACTTAGGATTGGAGAAAATCTGCAATTTTTTATAGTTTTACATGATGAACAGACAGCTATCTTTGTTTTCCCTCTATTATTTTGAGTTATAGGTAAGGATATATTGGGAAATGCTATTGTTAATGTATATATCTCATTTGAATTATAATCGATCTATTTAACTGATGATTTCATTATTAAAATAAAGCAGTAAACGCAAGAAATTAAAGGGTAATCATATAAAATTTTATCGTTAAATTCTATTAGAAGTAATTTAAATTTTTCAGAAGGAAATCATGGTAAAGAAGTTGAGTCATAATTCAGTAAATTATGATTAGTTTGATTGTTTAACAGTGCGTTCGATAGATTCTGATTTATTTCATTTCAGTTAATATATGACAAGAATAAAGGATCATTAATATGGTTTGATGATGCAAAATATGAAGGAATAGGGTAATTAATAATTTTTTGTTGATAATTCATTATTTTTTATTAAACAGAAAAGTTTGATATTTTGATACATGTTATTTATTATTTCTTTTTTATAATTTTTTTTTGTAAAGTATATTTATTTTATTATTTATTTATTTTTATTTGATTAATAATTGAAATTATTTTTATTATAGAACAGGAATCTATCAAAAATGATTACAAATATCGATAAGTTTATATAATTTTATTTAATTTATATGTATTATTATAATTTTGTTTATTTGTTTATGAAATAATAGATAATTTTTATTTTTTCATTAGTTAGTATTGAAGAAATTTACGAAAAACTAATTTTAAAAGAAAAAATAAAAATCTACTAATTATACTTTTCTCTAGATGGTTTAAATCATAAAAAAATTAGATAAGAACATGAAAGGTTAGATATAGTAAAATTTTAGATTCCTTGTTTGTTTGATAATTATTAAAAAGTAAAAGACGAATTATATGTCTTCTTAAAGGTCTGTTTGTTGATTCATTTCTTCTTTACAATTATGTATAGGTTTTTCATTTTTGTTATTAACATTATTGATCGCTTCAATTAATTTTTCAGATTTTTTGTTGAATCTTCTAAAGATGTTCATTTCGATGTTGTATTTGAAACAGATGGTATCAAAATTGAACTTGATATTAGTCAAGTTGAAATTGTTGAGTTTGTTTCATTTGTTTTTTGTTTTTTATTAATTATTTGTTATTCAAATTTTAATAAATTTTCTCTTTTTGGAGCTCTATTACTTTTTTCTCCTTTTTGTGCTATGGTGTTAGGAAAAGACTACTCAATTTTAGAACAAATGATTTGTATAAGGCTTGTTCCTATAAATAATTCTCCCGCAACTGAAAATATTGCCGAAGATTTTATTGATTCTTCTACTGAAGAATGCCTGCTATTCGATGATGAATATATGCATAGAACCATTAGTTTATTTATTATTCCAGTAAATGAGTTGTAGACGTTCCTTTTTAAAATAAAGTAATTTTGATCTTCATCATTTGATTTTGCCGATATTTTACATGGTGAAGTAAAAGATCTGAATAATAGTGTAATAGGTAGATCATACATATTCAGTTCATCATTTGATGTTTTTAGATTCGAATATGCTGCTTGAATTATCGTTATCTGGATATAAAAAAATAAGTTAATAATTTTAAATATTTTAATTAATTATAAAAAAAAAATAAAAATAATAAAATGCTCTTTATTACGAATAACTCAGATTTTTGCATTACTTTATTAACATTTTTCTAAAATTAAAGTTTATATATAAGCAAAATAACTTTATTTATTTCCATAATTTATTGTTCAACAATTAATTATTTCAAACAAAAGTATTCATTTTTATTTGTGTTAAAAGTTTATTTATTAAATTATATTTTTTTATTTTTGGGAAATTGAACAACCTAGTTTCTTGAAGGAATCTTAAACCTTTATATAATAAAATTCACTTTGTAATATTTGTTACATGATTTTTACTACATGATTTTCTATTACATGATTTCTATTTTTACTATTATTCCTAATTCTCCGTTGTTCATTACTAACTCCATATTTTTATTATTTACTTGTTTACAATTTAATTTCATTCCATTGTATTAATTCATACTTCCGTTATATTACTTTTACTTTCATTATCTTAATTTTACTTCTGTTATATGAATTCTCATCTGTTTTCCTTGTATTTACTTAATGTTTTAATAATAATTTTTCCTTCTTACTTTTTCAGATTTCTGTTTTTTTTCTGTATTTTGTATCACTACTAATTTTCGTTCTTTTTCTGATTTCCGTTTTGTTTATGATGTCATATGTAACCTTTATGTTACATAAGCTTCTATGTGATCCAGTTTGTTATTCCCAACAAGTGTATCTTTTGTGTAACCTTCTTGCATCTTCGTGTAACTTCTTCAATTTGTTATTTTTCAAATATTTTTTTGTCTTTTTATAAGACCTTCTGTTCAGTTGATTATTTATCCTTTTCCTTGACCCTCTATTCAGTTAATTAATTATCCTTTTTCCTTCAGTAACTAATTTATCTGAATTATTTTCTTTCATAATTTATCTGTCTTGTGTAATCTTTCTTTTTGGTCTGTAATTTATCTGAGTATTATTCTTTCATTAATAAAATAATTATTCCTTCTTTTATCATATGACTTTTCCTTGTAATTTTTGCTGTATATTGTTGATCATTTTCTTTTGTATTACTGCGCCTTAATTAATGAAATTGTTGACTCTATAATATACTGAACTTCTACCCTATAAATAATATGTATAAGGAAAGTATACGGAAATAATACGTTTAAAAAACGTATAATAAACGTAGAAAAAC